AGGACACTGGGTGACCTCCTGAGTGTAGCAGCTTTCTTCCCGGAATGGGCGTCACCCGAGAAGTATCGTCACAACTCGTGGGATCTGCATGGATACTAAATATAAATCTGGTATTTCAATGGGAGGAAAAGGAAAACAGTACACAAATGATGCAATGGAAGTTCAGGAGATCGCAACGGTTGGGCCTTCCCAATCAAAGGGAAGGCGTCCTGCGTCTGAGAACTCGAGGAGCGTTAGCCCAGCTAAATGGGCTAAGCATGTCCTGGAGAGTGATAGTCCAGGTGGCTGCAATAACATGAATGACGATGGACTGATTAAGATGAGATAAATAAGTGAAAAATTGCGGAAGTTCTTGTTTACGGACAGCATCAGAATCTCGAAGTCTGCATGTGAATTTGTGTTGAATTGTGTGAGTGAATGTGAGAATCACATGAAGCGAATAGTCGCGAAGAATGAAAGATTGTTGGGACGTTTGGATGAGTGTGAAAAACAGTTGAAGAGAGATTCTGTTAAAGCGAGTGCTACGTTTGCCAATGTAGCACGTGGTGGTGCAAATCTGAGTGAAAGTGTAGGTGGGCCAAAGAAAGCGGTGGCAAGGAAGGAAATTGTAAAGGAGCGAACGAATACGGTAGTGATCAAGCTAAAGGTCGAGGGCTTGAAACTATCGGGTGAGGAGGTGTAAGAAAGAGTGATGAACAATGTTAACAAGGATGTGAGTATTCGAGTGAACGCATTTAGAAAGACGAGGGATTGCAAATAAGACATCTAGTGAAGCTGAGTTTTGCGGATGTTAAAAGAATGTAAGAGGTTTGATGATCTAGGTTTCAAAGTTTAGTTGCCGAGGAATATTGGTCCGAAGGTCGTTGTCTTGGATGTAACCAATTATTCATTTATGAATGTGTTGTATGAAAGGAACATGAAACAAGTGACAGTAAGTGAGAATAAGTTAAGAGAGACGGCGCGAGTAGTTTCACGGACGAACCGCAAAGGAGTGAATGTGGGCAACTTTGTGGTTGAGTTAAGTCGAGGTTGGATGGAAGATGTGCAAGGTTCGTGACTTTATGTATGTAACATGAAGTGTCATGCTCTTGGGCACATGATGAGAGATTGTAAGATGAAAGAAAGGCTGTGTGGTAGTTGTGGTGAGAGTGGGCATCTGAATGAGAGGTGCAAGAATGCGAGTGTCTGCTGGAATTGTAAGATGACAGGGAGGAATTCTGAGCACTAAGTTATG